CGCTGCCTTATTACCCACATCCCCAGGAATCTGCAGGCTGCCCTGGATGTTCAGGAATAAATTTAACCAGCCAAGAATATTTTTCTCCAGTCAGGCAGGAACTTTTGTTTTGTTTTGCAGCTGGCCTGTATGGGGATCTAAATGGAGCTTTCATTATTGATGTTATCGTTCTTTTGTTTTCTTTTTTTCTTCCATCAATCATCCTTACTGATTTTCTCCAAGGGCCCTTTGATTGTTGGCCTTTTGAATGCCCACTGTGAACTGTGGAGGGGAAGGGGTGATTCCAGAGACCACAGCATGAGCATTACTGCTTGGGTCAGAACCAGGTGCTCCAGAGGCTACCAACTTCTGCACAGAAGAGAATCCATGAAGACTTGGGGGAGATATGGGTGCATTGGGTTTTGAGGGCTATCCATACTTATTCCCCCTCCCCATTCTCATGTTGCCCAAACCCATGGAAAAATCTTGAGTAAAAGGAGAGAACCTCAGAGAGGATCAGGTCCCAGGGAAGATGGGAAAGACTCACATCAGTGTAAGAGACTGTGCNTCTGCACAGAAGAGAATCCATGAAGACTTGGGGGAGATATGGGTGCATTGGGTTTTGAGGGTTATCCATACTTATTCCCCCTCCCCATTCTCATGTTGCCCAAACCCATGGAAAAATCTTGAGTAAAAGGAGAGAACATCAGAGAGGATCAGGTCCCAGGGAAGATGGGAAAGACTCACATCAGTGTAAGAGACTGTGCTACACTCTGTGTTCTCTCCAGAATAGGGGCAGGAGTTAGGTGTTTCCTGATGAATGTCAGGAATTCTCTTCTTCCTTTCAATGAACTCTGAAACAAGTTGGGAGAGAATCAAAGCCTGCCTCTCTAGCAGTCACCACACTCACTGGCCCACAGTCCCACCTGGATGACCCACTTAGGGTGACCCAACCATCCTGTTTCCCTGTCACTGAAGGGTTTTCCAGGACTTTCAGTGCTAAAACTGAGAAAATCCTAGACACACCAGGATGGACTGGTCACTCTCATCTCTTCACTTCCTGATCTCTGGGCTAAGGTGGCCAAAGTGAAAAGCAGAGATGGTCAGAAACACTTTCAGAAGACTTTCAAGAGGGAAGGGAGATCTCAAAGTCTGCAGTTCATATTCACCTGATGCTTAGGTCCCTTCCCAAAACCCTACATGGATAGAATCTCACGGGACCCTGAGAAGACAAATCAGTAGGGGTTAGGGACATGGAGCATGGGTCCAGCATGGAGGTAGCCAGGGAACAGCTTCTCCAGGAGAAATGTGTCTAGATGGACTGAGGAGTAAAGAGAGGTCTCTGGGGCTGATCCAGAGGAGAGGACTGGGACTGATTTGGGAGCTCTGACAGGGATGGGAATAGGAAGGGCTGACTGGAGGGTGCTGATCTGTGGGGACCTCAGAGTTGCAAGCCATTGCCTCCCAGGTTAGGGGAGCACTGAATGATGTAAGGCCTGTGTCAACAGAAGGGCCACATTAGTGAGTCTCTCTGGGGGAGAGGGGCAGGCACTGGAAAGGGAATGGGGAGGACCTTGACCTCAGGAGAGAAGGTAAGGATTCCAGTATTCTCTCTACTCCTGAACTAAGGAGTGCAGGTGGACTGTGTTCTTCCTGAGGGCAGAGACTCTGGCCTCTTCATGTCTGTGTCCTCAGCACCTAGCACCAAGTCTGGCTCATGGCTGGATAAGTGATGGAGAAAATGCATGAACAAGGGTAATGACAAAAATGGTACATGCTATACCTTTTTTTCTCTTTCTCTGCAGACTCAAAAGAACTAGCACCAGTACAAGGAGGCTGAGTGGGATGGACATCAACAGGAGATACAGGAAGACTATGAAGGAATCTGGGTCACTGGGAGCACCTTTAAAGAGAGAATGGGTGGAGGCATGGGGGAGGAAGAAAAGTCAGCTAGGGAAAATGACCCAACTTTTGGAGTACCTGCCACTTTCCTCCTAGCCTGGTGACTTCCCAGTGGCCTCCAGTTTTCACACAGGGCCTGTTCCCATGGGGTTCAGGAGCTAAAGAAGGTATAGGTCCTTGATTTCCTCCTAGCCAGTTTTCACACAGGGCCTGTTCCCATGGGGTTCAGGAGCTAAAGAAGGTATAGGTCCTTGGGACCAGAGGCTCCTGCAGAGAAGGGAGAGATGGTCACCTTTGCAGAGTTCCCTGGCAAGGATGGGGCTTGAGGAGTTGCTGCTGATGGGGTTCCGGGCCACGCAGATGAAGATCATGTCCCTTTCCCCTAGACTCCAGGAGATGGGGAGGATGGAGCCATCATGGGACTCATTGGCTTCTTGCCCCAGGGCTTTCCAGCGGTAAGTCACATCCTCTCCTCCCTGTTCCATGGAGCATGTCAGATTGGTCAGGCAGGTGCCATTCTTATTGTTCTGCACACCCATGGTGACTTTGGGCTTTGACAGGTACTCTGTGAAAAAGACAGGACAACCAGGGATGGAAATTATGCCTATAGCTCTCCTTGCTCTGAATTTTCCTTGGATACCTCACACCTGAATCTCCTTGGGGAACAGAGACAAAGCAGCAATTCAGAGCATAATTCGCATTCTTATCTGGGAAAGAGAGCTATCTAGGTCTGCTTGTCCACAGCTATGTAATAATAATAATAATGGTCACAACAACAGCAATGGAATAATAATGCAACAAGAATGTAGCTGCCATTTACTAAGCATAGCCACATGGCAAGCACTCAGCTAAATGCATTTTAGATGTCAGCTAATTTTATCCTTTTTAGAGGCTCCCTGTTCCCTGTCCTCGGGCTTTCCAGAAGAGACATCCTCTCCAGGAGACAGTAGTATGGAAGGAACACTTCTAGTCCCCCTCTCTACCTTGTACTCACTCCCTTCCCTCAGAGGATGAGTAGTGGGTTAACTGGTGAGATGGTGGAGTCTGACATCCATCATCTATCTTTCTCCACTCATGGGTTTGAGCTGCTAAAGATTTCTGTAGAAAAAAACAAACAAACCCAAAACCCAGAAATGTGATTTGCCCTTTTCCTTCCTCCCCCAGCTATCTTACCTGCAGAATGCATATCTTCTTTTTCCTTCAACTGTGTTTATATGGAGATACATGGCCTACCTGACACAAGCAAGTCTGGAGGCCCATTTCCTGATGTCCCTGATGTTGCCTTAGTGAGTGGAGGCAACTATTCTTCCTATAGCTGGTTGAGTAATTGTTTTCTAAGTTCGACTTCCCTGGATAAGATCCAAGGTCTAGACTTGGGGTGAAGTATGTCTCGTATCTAGCTTTCCCAGGGATAAAGCTGATATTTTTTGTCTTCTTTCTGATTCTTGTGTCTATTTGTCAATTGGTTGGAATTATAAGGGAGAGAGTGTGATTGATGCTTATGCTCAATAATCTTCCTAAGGTAGGTATCACTTTCTTCCCCATTACAGATGTGGAAAGTAAGGCTTGAAGGAATTAAATAACTTGGCTTAAGGTCAGGCAAGTAGTAAGTAGAGAAGCCAGCATTTGACCTAGGTCTATGGGATTGCCATTTCTTGTATGACAAATCCTTTGCCTCTTACAGAATCTCTGAGTAGGCAGGGACCTGAGTTCAGCTCTACATCTACTTCATCCATGCCGGAGTTCCCTCTCCCACATTCTTGCCAAGTGATTATCCAGGCTCTGCTTGAACATCTCTTGTCGGGGAGCGCACCACCTCACCAAGACAGCCATCTACCGTTGAAAATGATTCTGCTCACCATAGACACGCAGCCCATACTTCTGGGTGATGGGAATCTGGGAGGATGAACGGTGTATCTCCACACGGTAGACACCTGAGTCACTCTTCTTCAGTTTGCTGAGCTGCAGGGAATAGTTTCCATGTAGGAAGTCCACCCTTTCCTTATTACGATTTTGGGTCACAATGACAGTGGCTTGTTTGTCACCCACTTTGGGCTGTATAGTAACAAGAGTGGTTGTGTTGAAGGTCCAGACGACACTGTCAACTTGCTCTTCTGTGAACTCCAGAGGGAAAGTCACGGACCTATCAAGGGCACCGATCAGCTCCCTCAGGGCTCCCCTGTATAGTAACAAGAGTGGTTGTGTTGAAGGTCCAGACGACACTGTCAACTTGCTCTTCTATGAACTCCAGAGGGAAAGTCACGGACCTATCAAGGGCACCGATCAGCTCCCTCAGGGCTCC